AGAACTCAATTAGTGTGCCGGTTAATCACACACGCTCCACTAATGTCTTAGCAAGGGTACAAAGTGTAATTTCATGGAATTGCATCAATTCACTTTTGCCTAAAGTAACTAAGATTGAGAATTTTGTAAAAAATGTTTAGTTACTTTATCATTCATTATACTTTTAATGGAAAGTGTTTGCCCTATCCTACCCGTTCGGCTAACGACCTCCACCAATCAAGGAAGCGGTGGGTGAGAGTGGACACCCATTAAATGACCATTTTATAGGCCATAACCTTATACCCCCCTTATAGATCGGCTTCGTGAATGAGGCATACTAACGGTAAGACTAGCAGTTTAAGTTATACATATATAATATTAGACTTTTAATGTTATATATAGTATAAGGGTGTATTTTACACTTTTAAAATACTAGGTGGTTTAATTTAATAAATTACACTTTTAATTTGATTAAATATAAATCATATGATTATGGATTTATTAACTCTCTTTTAATTATACTTTTAATTAACTTAATAAAACCATAAGGGAGTAATTTGAACTTTTCAAAACTAGGGTTTTTAGAATTTAGACTTTCAAAATTAAACTTTTTAATCAAACAATTTAAATTCCAAAACTTGAGGGCAAGTTTTGGAACTTTTCAAAACAATTAGGTTCAATTATTCAAATTTCAAAAAAACTAGGGTTTTTAATCATATTTAAAATTTTTGAAAATTAAAACCTTTTAATTTTAAAATCTTAAATATTAAAACATTGATTTAATAATTATCCAAAATAAAACAATTAATTTGAATTATTAAATCTTGGAGGATTATATATTAAATTAAACAATTAATTTTAACCTAATCCCTTTATCCCTTAAAATTCGAAAAAATTGGGATGGGATAATTCAAAAAATCTTTAATTACCATATTTAAACAATTAAGAGATAATTACAAGATTTGGCATTATCCAAATCCCTAGAATTTGGGATCTTATCTTGGGGAAGGAGGCAATTTCAAAATTCTAGGGTTGGATAACCCTAAAATTTGAAATCTTGGAGGCTAAGGAAAGGATTTGGGAAACCCTAACCAAATTTCGAAATTTAGGGTTTATGAACCCTAATTTTCGAAAATCATGCCTTTAGGGTTTATTGGCTATAAACCCTAATATGTCAAATTCATACTTTTGTATAGAGAACTAATTGAAAACAAAAACCAATGGCTCTGATACCACTGATAGGTTTTATACAAACAATCCTATGTGTGCATGCAACCCTAGAGTTGGATCTATGTTTTCACTATTAGTTATACAACTCTGTGAACACAAAAAGAAACCTGACATGCTCCTACTATTTTCGAAATCCACATAGGAGAATAGAATACATACCTTTTGTTGTTATATAGTAATAACAACTAGTTCCTTGAATCTCCTTAGCTTTTGAAAGCAAGTACCACAAGTGTAGTACCTCTAATGGCTCACAAACACACTTGGGTGAGAGGATTGATATGAGAGAGAGGAGGAAGGGTACTAAGCTCCAAAATTCGGCTATGGAAGGGTTTTCCCAAGGGTTGGCCGAATTCCTAAGCCTAGAGGGCTATTTATACTTGAGGCTAGCTAGGGTTTCAAGGTGGAAACCCTAATCCCTTAGCTTAGGGCCTAAGCAAGTCCATGGACTCCTTTCCTTAAGCCCTTGGACGAAAACTCCTAGATCCTTCTAGGATTTTCTTTCAAGCCTTAATAAAGGTGATCCAATGGCCCAAAGTCTCAACTATCAAATAATTACAAAACAGCCACTGTACTTTTAATTAATTCATTTAATCCCAAAATTAATTTCTGATTAAATACTAATTAATAATATGATTCCTAATTAATATATTATTCTTATAATATATTAACAAATCATATTTATACCCCAATCTATCATTCTTAACAATAAATCAGCCTCTCTCCTCAATGGTCATCCTATACAGTCACCAGTGTGAAGGCAACCCAAAAGGACCATGCTACAACCGGGTCAAGTACATACCAAATATAGTTATGGATTTAGACACTAATCCAATAGATACTTCCAATGCGACCGCTGGAGGCAGTCAACACCCCAGTCGTCTCAGTCCCCGGAGAGCAACCGCCAATCATCGAAGCACCATCGTCATCAGGGGACCCGTCGCCAAACCTTGAGGCCATACTAGCTCCCGGCGGGCCGCCGTCACACATTGCAATGGCTACGCCACGAGATTCATCCTTAACTCCTATCACTACCATTACACATACCACTTTACCCCAAAACCAGCCAATATTCACCACGCCGCTTCCATTCTTCAACACCAAAACAGCCGTCACACCTCCCGCGAATAACCTATACGCACACAGCACTGTGTTTAACACGAGCGCTGCGTCACAACCACGAAACCACCAGTTCCTAACGTCATGCGCCACACTAGGGGTGGCAATCAATGACACGACACGACAAAAAATACACGAAACGAAACGAAATTGAGACGAAATTGAAATTTGAATTCGTGTTCGTGTCGTGTTCGTGTCAAGTGTAAAAAACACGACGTCGTGTCGTGTCGTGTTCGTGTTCAAAATTTGACACGAAATTGACACGATTTAACATTTTTTGTCGTGTTTTTCGTGTTTGTCGTGTTTTTTGTGTTATGTATGAATAAATATTAATTAAATACATTAATTTTTATTTCATGTTATCTTTGTCGTGTCGTGTTTGTCATTTTTTAATCGGGTCGTTTTCGTGTTAGTTAAAAAAACACGAGATTGTGTCGTGTTACATAAAACCTTGTCGTGTCGTGTCGTGTCAGACAAAAACACGACACGATGACCCGATTTGCCACCCCTACGCCACACCAACAATGTCATCTCCTTTTTACCAGCAAATACCCGCATCCCAACAGCCAATACCCATGGCCCAACAACAAATACCCATT